CCATCTCTACTCCCTGTCCTCATTAACTTGCCTTATTTGTCTCTTCCATTTGGCTGTTCCAGAGTTGTTATCTTTTCTAATAAGCCAGTAATAGTAAGTAAAGTGCTTGTCTGAGTTCTGTGAGCTGTTATAGCAAATTATCAGACTTGAGGAGGAGATCATGGAACCTTGGATTTATTTACCTGGTTAGTCCATCAGGGGCAGGGAGGCCTGGATTTGTGATTGGATTTGAAGGTGGAGCACGGGGGCAGTGTTGTGGGACTGAGGCCTTCCCCGTGGGGTCTGTGAAAGCTCGGGGGAAAGGGAGTGTGAGCAGTATTGCGAGTAGAGAAGCAGTTTTGCTCTAGTTGGTGTTTTTCCTTGAGGAACCAAATTCATTTTTACACGCCATTTCATCTGTAATTCCATAGTATGGCTTGAGATACTATGTGTTAAAAGATGAATGAATACACAGATCTGACTCCAATAGGTCAAATATTACTAGAAGAGGTTAAAAGGAGGTAACATATTTGACATTGAAAGATACATTTGAAATTTGGATTTATAATTGAACAGTGTGAAACAGATAACCAGTACATTTCAATGGTTTCTACTTAATTCTACTTGAGAGTTTAATAAGGAATGCCATCTTAATTCTTAAGGATTCTGAATATACTTCTACAAAAACAGTTCTCTACAACTTGTACTTTAAATATCACCACTAAAATTTGTCAGATTATTCTGTTTTAAGCATGCAGACCTTTACACTTTTATACTATGATTTTTTTTCTGATTAATAGAAGAACAATACATCCTTTAGAAAGTTTAGAAAATACCAAAAAGCCTAAGGAAAGAATTGCTTTTAATGCCTCTCTCTGGAGATCATCCACTTTAAAATTTTGGCATTTGTCTCCTTGTAGACTTTTTTCCCATAAGTCCTATACCTGATGGAGATATTACAGCATGTGAAATTGTCAATGCTGGTTTTGAAGTTTTACTTAACCTTATAGTCTATAGTCAGTAGGATTCCATGTCATTGGAATTCCTTACATACATCATCCAAGTGTCTATAGCCAAGGTTTTCAAGGAATGGGCCTCAGATCAGCAAGAAAGATGTTGCATGGGAGCTGCAAATGCAGACCCACCAGGACCTTCTGGATCAGAGGTTTGGAAGAGGGTGCCCCGAAATCTATGGCTTAACAAGCCTCTAGGTGAATCTGATGCAAAGTAAGTTTGAGAACCACAGCCATGCTGTCTTGCTCTTAGTCTGGGAGGAAATAAGGGTTTTCTTTTTGCTGTTCTAAGTGTTTTACACAACCCTTTGTTCACATTTCTGAGTATTTCTTTTTCTTTTTTTTTTTAATATTTTTGTTTATTTGTTTGACAGAGAGAGAGACAGCGAGAGCAGGAACACAGCAGGGGGAGCGGGAGAGGGAGAAGCAGGCTTCCCGCGGAGCAGGGAGCCCGATTCGGGGCTCGATCCCAGGACCCTGGGATCATGACCTGAGCCGAAGGCAAGACGCTCAACGACTGAGCCACCCAGGCGCCCCACCCTGAGTATTTCTCTAGAATAAAAGAGTTAATCAATGTGTAAGCACCTAGTGAAAGACTGTGACACACAGAGACTGAATTCTTTCTGGATGCAGTTGTGGCAGTTTCTACTATTCCAAAGAGAGCTTGAGATGCTCTATCTGACCACAGTCTTCCTCTTACACAGCTTGTTCTTTATGTGCTTTTTCATAGTAAGTTATTTGTATCTTTCATTTTGTCTTCTATAGCTTTTTCTCTTCTTTTTTAGAGAGAGAGAGAGTGTGTGTGTGTGCACGAGTGGCAGGGGGCAGAGGGAGAGGGAGAGGGAGAAAGAGAATCCTAAGTAGGCTCTGCGCTGGGTGGAGGGGGCGGGGGTTGGATCTCCTGACCCTGAGATCATGACCTGAGCTGAAATCAAGAGTCGGTGGCTCACCTGACTGAGCCACCCAGGGACCCCTATAGCTTTTTCTTAATAGCAAGGATGTGTTAAAGGTACTGTTCTTTTGTCTTGACATGTTGCTTGTGATCATTTTAACTACAGATATTTTTCAATTGACCTGGTGAATCCTATATATTTATTTATTTTTATGCCATTTCTCATTCCAGAGATTAAATAATACTTACTTATATTTCTTCTAATGTTGATATGAAAAAATTTAGGGCTGTAGTCCACCCAGATTTTTTTTTTTATTGTAGCAAAGGTCTAAATAGCATTTTCAAAAGTGGTTAAACAATTTTCCCAGAATACTGTCAACGAATATTTTAATAATAACTTTCACTTTCTCACCATGATTTCCTGTTTGATTTAACCTTAGCATCTGTGATATTCAAATTATTTCAGTATAGCAAGTGTGGTCCTTTGATAGTCCTATGTTACAATGCAAAATAATTTCAGGTATTTTGTTCATTTTTTATAATGTACTAAGAACTTAAAAAGCTTATTCTTATTTGACAGGGAGAAAATTTCATTGTTCCTTTTGTAGGAGTGGTTCAATGTATTTTTGTTCTGAATAAATTTAGCTTTCCCTTTCTCCATCATATTTGGACAAAAGCCATTCTTCGACTGTACAGTCTTTAAGGTTCACACATTTTTCTACTTTTATTCACCTTATAGGTTCAACAAGTTTGAAAAATGAAAATAATGTTTATTCTTTGACTTAGTTTCACTTTGTACAAAAGAATGAGTGGATGTAGATTTTGAGCTCCTATCGTGAAAAAAAAATAGCACCTAAGTAGTAGGTCAGGAAGGAAGAAGTAATCTGAGGGAAAGATCGGGGAGAATCCAATGAAAAGCATGATTTTCAGGTTGCTGTAGGATTGCAGGCAGTGTGGGAATCACAGAGCAAGCACTGGGCTTTACTTTCAAGGTTAGAGGGAAGTCATGCTGTTCATCAGCCACAGCCTGGCCCCTTCCTGCAGGAGGGGAGACTGGCGAGTTTGCTGCCCCAAAGAGAGGGGGCAATGGGGACAGCTCCCAGGTTCCAATTCACTCCCAGTCCTGACAAATATATATATATATATATTTAAAGATTTATTTATTTATTATTTTTATTTATTTATTATTTATTATTTTGGAGAGAAAGAGAGAGCAGGGGTGGGGAGAGGGAAAGTGGCAGAGACTGAGGGAGAGAGAGAACCTCCAGCAGAATCTCCGCTGAGCATGGAGCCCAATGTGGGGCTCGATCTCACGACCTTGAGATCATGGCCTGAGCCGAAATCAAGAATCTGCCACTTAACTGACTGAGCCACCCAGGCGCCTCTGGTAACAGCATATATTGATGGATTTTTTTTTCCTGGGAAGGAGCTCTGTGGAAGGTGGTGGGTGAGGAGTCTCATGGGCAGGAGGACATTTTATTTTATTTATATTTTATTTATTTATTTTTTTTAAAGATTTTATTTATTTATTTGAGAGAGAGAGAGAATGAGAGATAGAGAGCACGAGAGAGAAGAGGATCAGAGGGAGAAGCAGACTCCCCGCTGAGCAGGGAGCCCGAAGCGGGACTCGATCCCGGGACTCCGGGATCATGACCTGAGCCGAAGGCAGTTGTTTAACCAACTGAGCCACCCAGGCGCCCCAGGAGGACATTTTAAAGATAAAATGGTCCCTGACCTCACTGAGATCTCGCTTCAGAGGGGTTGTTGCTCTAGTAGTTTATTGCTTATGTGAATATTACCTCATTAGAGTCTCACCACAATTCTGTGATGTAATTAGAACTGTTGTCATTGTCATCACTTGACAGATGAAGAAAGGCATGCAGAGAAGGGTAAGGAATTGGCTGGAGGTCACACAGCTAAAGAGTGACAGAGTCAGGGAGAGAATCGCAGATTTCTGGACCATTGTTCTTTCTACTTAAGCACTGAGTCAGAGTAACATATTTCTTCTGATTACTTTTTTTTTTAAAGATTTTATTTATTTATTTAACAGAGAGGCAGACAGCGAGAGAGGGAACACAAGCAGAGGGAGTGGGAGAGGGAGACACAAGCTTCCCGGGGAGTAGGGAGCCCGACGCGGGGCTCGATCCCAGGACCCTGGGACCATGACCAGAGCCATGGGCAGACACTTAAGCGACTGAGCCCCCCAGGCGTCCCTCTTCTGATTACTTTTTATCATTAACTCGGATTGAGTAAAAAATATTTCTTAAATTCTACTTTTAAAATTATACTGTTGTGTGAATGTACTTAATTTATCAGCCTTAAGAAGTAATCTTCATTTATATACTCTTGATAGCTTTTTTTTTCTACAAAAGATTTTATGTATGTGATTGGGAGCTCCTTAGAGTGAAGGGTTATTTGTCTCAAACATACACTCTTTCTATTCTTGTTCTTTTTAAAATTTTTAACTGAAGTTTAGTTGACCTACAATATTAAATGAGTTTCATGTATGCAGTATGGTGACTCAACAATTATATGTACATTAGGAAAGGTCACCACAGTAAGTCTAGTTACCATCTGTCACTGGAGAAAGGTATGACGGTATTGCTCCCCATATTCCATATGCTGTCCTTTCCATCCTTGTGGCTTATTTATTTTATAACTAGAAGTTTGTACCTCTTAATCCCCTTCACCTATTTATGTTTTTAGAGGTGGGGAAGGGGCAGAGGGCGAGGGAGAGAGAATCTTAAGCAGGCTTCACGTGACGCAGAGCTTGATCTCTTGATCCTGAGATCGGGACCTGAGTCGAAATCAAGAGTTGGACGCTTAACCAACTGAGCCACCCCGGCGCAGCTCCCTTCACCAATCTATCCTTGTTCTTCTTAAGGCGTTAAACTCAGCCTTGAATCAAGGAACTAATAAAAATCTGTGAGGAGTCACAAATATTTAGAAGACTCTAAAGTAAAAATTCTTTTTCCCTTACTCTCATCCTGTTATTTCATTGGCTTGTTTTGAATTGTTACTCTATTTGATTAATGTTCCCTTTCCTCATTTTCCCACCGTTTTTTTCTGGACTTAGCTGAATTCCTAATTCCTATTATATATTTTTTTCCTCCTAGGTAAAACTGATAACCACTACATCGTCTTTGTGGCTGGAGGGGCAGTTGTGTTGTTGCTGTTTGTTATCCTAACCACCGCCATTGTCATTTCTTACAACAGGTGAGTATTGCAGCTCATCCTGATTCTTGTTTCCCTTGAGTCATCCTGATATGAGGGGTTCTCTGTGAATAACCCAACAGTTGGCCAAGCTGCCCTAGCCCTCGCATACAGCGTTTTGAGTATTTTTCTGACACAAGAGAGAAGTAGTTGTGGTAATATCAGAGGAGAAAGCTAGAGTAGCTCATTTAAGAATTAGTAGGAACTGCTCCGATGTTAGCAGCGGTTTCATATTCTGGGCAGCCAACTGCCTGGAGCCTCTGCCGTGTCTCTCTTGTCCTCTCTCTTCCTCGTCCTGCAGGGAAAAGAGGGTGTTGGGCGAGGGGTGCTGTGTGTGCCTGCGTGCGTACATGCAGCCATCTTTCCGTCTGCGCGTGCGTGCGAGCGTGCATCCGTGCGTGTGTGCGTGCGTGCGTGTGATGAGGGGGGAGGGAGGGAGGAATTCTGAGAAGGGGAAGAACAGGGTTGAGCAGCAATAATGCCTTCATGTATTCATTCATCAAATATCTATTGCAACAGTAGTGGACAAGATGTGATGGAGTGCACATTCTAATAAATAAGCAACATACTTTTAAATGGTTGTATAGTTTCTGAAACAAGCAACAGAGATGCTATTCCTAAAAAAAATTATTTTGGAAGAGAGGTGTGTTGGAAGGGGCTACCTTAGAGAGAGTAGATAGTCATTGACCTCTACTTAAGTTTCCCACCTTTTACTCTCTGCGGCACACTTGGGAACTTGCTGGAATATTCTGGGTTGACTCTGCCCTTTCTTGCTGTCTCACGCTCACCAACTCACTTGTCTAGGTATTTGTCGTAATCTTAGCTGTAATCATATTGAATTGAAATTACTCTTTATGCTTGTGTTCCAACTAAAGTGTTCTCTTGTTAGCAGAGGGAAGGAATACATCTATCTCCTCTTCTCTTCTACCCCAGCAATATTACCACACACACACACACACACACACACGCATGCACGCACGCACGCACATAGGCACACACACGTGCAAGTGCATGTGTATTAATAGGATATCAGGTAGATTTCTCTATCTCATCTCCATATCCCAGCCTCACCTCTTTGGAGCTGGTATTACAACTCCCTGGAGGTTAGTTAATGCTCCCAGTCTGCCCCCAGCTCCAGCTGTCTCCTCTCTTTCTTTGGAGCACACCTGACTTTTCCTGGTTGCTCTTCTAAAAGCTAGTATCCTTCCTGTTTAACACCTTTTCTTGTCTTTCTACTGCCACCAGAATAAGGTTAAAACTCATTAACCCTGTCTCAAAGGCACCCTTTGTTCTGACTTCCACCCAGTTAGTGGGACCCCAATCTAATGTTCCTTTATATTTTCTACTTTACTGCCCCAATGTCAACAAATTTTGTTAAAACTTCAAGTCTCATTTTGTGAACACCCCCGACTCTCTTCCCATTTGGGTAGCTAACAAAGTGCTGTTTCCCCCATGTTTGGCTTTACTCCTGTGGCTCATTCAAGGTGTGGGACACATGTCCCCTTTGGGAGGTCTGTCCTGGTCCTCCCTCCCTGCAAAGAGACCTGATGGCACCGTCTGTTGCGCCTTGCACCCTGCTTTGTAGCTTCATCATTTTTGTGCTGTCTTCCCTTCTGTTCAAAATGTCAGGGATTGCATTTTATTCATTTCTTAGTGTTTGATAGCATTTAGCACTAATCTTTCCAAAATAACGGATGGTCAATAAGCATTTGTCTAATTAAACTGAAACACAGAACTCTCGTTTTCCCTTTCTTTCCATCACGGGCTGCCCTCAAGTCTTTCCCTGGTCGGAAATTGAACAAATTAGCAAATTGAGGGAAGGAACCCAGGATGTTAGTGACACTAAGGATTTTTCTACTGCTTCACCTTGGTTGATGAAAAATGCACCGAGGGCGGCTGTGACAGCAGGAGCACCCGGAAACACGGGCAACATGATAGGAGAGAGTGAGTGACAGCATGGATCTCTGGAAGGTCACAGATGTTGGACATGATGGATTTAGCTTCATGAAAATGCATTACTTTTACATGAATAGCTAAATTGAACTGTAGAATATATTGTCCCACTTGGTTAAATGTGATAAAAAGATTAGTGGACTTGAATGTGTAATCATGGCCGAACATCACAAAGGAAGAAGCGCTTGTTCTTTCTACCTTGTCGCCCGAATCAGTTTGTGGTTGTAACTTAGAAAAATGACCCAAGGGCTTAAACAATGGTCTTCAGAACTCTGTCTTCCTGACCATTTAAAATAATCCTGCCGCTTCCAATGTGCTGACTTGGGGAGAAGCCAGTGGAGATCACAGTGTGCCTGAACGAAACCAAGTCCTTCCTTCACACCCAGTACCCCGGAGCCTGTGTGTCCAGAGGCATTTCCCACACTTTCTCTGCTCTCATTTTGTGTTGCTTCCAGTTAGAGATCAGAATGGTCACATTGTTAAGTGAATGTGGTTGGTGGGCGTGCGTAGCCCTGGTTAGGTGTGGCAGGAGCCAAAAGACAGTGGACACATTGACGGGTGTGTCTACAGGAAGAAATTTAATGTTTAGCGTGCAAAATGTTAAACACTTATGTTTCCTTTTATTGTCAACTTTGATGTTCACAACAAATAGGCTCTTTTGCTTAGCCTGGGACTCTCCCAGTTTCAGCACTGAAAATTCCTCATTCTGGGGAAACTGCTGAGAATGAAGCAAACCAGAATGGTCTGGGGGCACCTGGGTGGCTCAGTCGTTAAGTGTCTGCCTTCAGCTCAGGTCATGATCTCAGCGTCCTGGGATCGAGCCCCGCATTGGGCTTCCTGCTCAGCGGGGGAGTCTGCTTCTCCCTCTCCCTCTGTGCTCTCTCTCAAAAAAATAAATAAAATCTTAAAAAAAAAAAAAAGAGTGAAGCAAACCAGAATGGTCTGTCAACCTAGAACAAACCACAGTGTTCACCATCTTTATTTTATAGAGGAGAGGACTGAACTTTATAGATGCAAATAACTGGTAAATTGCTGGGCACAAGTTAAACACAGATCATCTGACTCTAAATTTCTTGTTCTCTTTTCTTCATCATATTGGATATTCTAGGATTATGTAAACAATATGTATATTTGGACCTCTTTGGGAAAGTTAATCTATATTATGATATAGTGATGTGATGATTTGACAAAAGGTCCACTGTCATAGATTTGTTTCTTCCTTTGTAAAAAGAGAATCGTAATAGCATCTACATCACAGATTTCTTTTAAGGAGTAAATAATTTATATGAAAGACCTGGAAACATCACTTTCACATAATAAACTTAACACATCAAAAAATTAAATTAATTGCATAAAAGAGTCTTTATAAGTAAACAAATACACACAGAGTAAGATCAGTTTGTGATTATGTCGACACAGCGGGAGGATTTCCTAGTGACTAGGAGAGAACAACATCCATCATCTGAACCTTTCCTTGGAGAGAGACTAGTTTGGCTGGTTTTTAAACTTTCTGTGAAGGAATTACAACTTCATCTTTTTGCATAAAGGAAAAAATACCTTACGTTTTTGCATCTAACCCATCTCCTCTGTGGTCTGATAAAAATCTTTTCTTTAGGGAGATGAAAAAAAGATATCATCTCCCATAATAACTATTTTCATGCACTTGGGTAGAGTCGTTTCATCTAGTGCATTCAGTTTTAGTAGCCTCTATTCATCTTCTCTTGAATTTTCAAAGATTCCTCCTGATGTTAGGTTTTTATAGTTTTCATTGGAATGGTGGAGAGTTTATGGAATAGTATGGCTCCAGATGGCCCATGGAACTGGGGCAACATGGCTCCAGACACAGTGAGCGTAATAGTCATGAGGGAAGGCTGTGGATTCAAATCCCGACACTACCACTAGCCAACCACATGATTTAGGGCAAGTTACTCTTCCTCTCTTGCCTCAGTTTCCCAATCTGAGTTAAATATAGAGGTTTTGATGAAAGCTAAATAAAATAATCCATTGAGGAGTTTTAGTAAAACACCTGAACTTTCTCTAAAGCTTAACTCTATTATCACTGTCATCCAAGATGTTACACTGTCGACACTGAAAAGGAAGTTTTTAATTGTGGGAAATCTCTAAGCTCAAGATTATTTGGAGAAGGCAGTAAGCCATTTATGCAATAACATACTATGAACCATTCTTCAGTAAGCTCGCTGAGATTAATTATTAATATACACTGGCTGGATATCCATTTAGATGCCCTCACCATCTGTGGAAAATAATTAGGTCAAGGGAATTTTGAGTAGGTATGTATGAAGCAACTTCAACATAGTGAAGGCATGTAGGCTGGGGTACAAGTAGGGTATAATACTATATGCCATAATACTAGTGCTGAAGTGTAAGATCTTAATGCCTCTATTGAATATGTATTCTTAGGAGAAGGAGACAGAAAAAGCTATTTAAACAACCCTGGGATGCACTGAATAAGGTAAGTTTTCTCAGAGCTGTCATTTTCCACCTTTTGTGCATTGTAATATCCTGTAAAGTCGGTCCATTTAGCAGTCGACAACCTTATTGTTCTCCTTTCAATTACCTGGCCATGTAGTGGATCAGCTATTTGAGGAAACACCTGTTCTCTGACCGTTCTCTTATTATTGACGCCCTTTGAAACAGTTTGTCTTACTTTCATGTTCATTGTCTCCACTTTTGGTCAGATTTTCTCTTTAACATATGTGATTCTGTTTACAAAAATTTTTAAAGATTTATTTATTTTATTTTAGACAGAGACTCTCTAAAATAAAGACAGAGTGGGGGAAAGGGGTAGGTAGAGGGAAAGAATCTTCAAGTAGACTGCCTGTTGAGCATGGAGCCCAATGCAGGGCTCCATCTCACGACCCTGAGATCACGACCTGAGCTGAAACCAAGAGTCAGATGCTCAACCAACTGAGCCACCCAGGTGCCCCTGTTTACAAAATTTTACAGCAAAACATTTCCCCAAGTGTTATCTAAAATTACATCATTTCTCTTCAATTTAATTATTTGCAGTTGAATTCTACATGACCAAAACATCAAGTAATAAAAATTTTCTGACAATCTAATATGTGTGCTTTGGACTTCTGTTACCTATTTATTTATCAGTTTAATTTTTTTTCTTCTATTAGTTACCCTTTGCACACCAAATTTTTTTTTTTTTTCTGAATAATTCGTGGCTGGCTTTTTGACAGTAACTGGAAAGACTATAGAAGTTTTGCCTCGTTTCATCTGCCACTCCAGCAAGCGATAAAACATTGCTGTCAAATTTTGGGGTCCCTTCTTTGTCCTTAGCTGTTTGTCCACTCAAGCCAATCTAAAGCCACATTTATTGCTGTGAATGTCAGGGGAGGGAAGGAACTTTGCAACTTCCTATATTAAGTATTCAACTTGTTCAGTCTTTTGTAGAATAATGATATTTTGAACGATGAGTAGAAAGATAGTGAGTCGGACTGTGAAAAAAAGAAGCTGACCTACTTGATTGTTTTGGGGTTTTCAACAGGCTCTGGAATTACAGGTGGAAGTGCAACTTTCTTTTTGCTTTTTCCTTGCAAGCACCAAAACCACTCTCAGTTTCCAAATTACTCACCAAAAGACCTTTCTCTCTTCTTCTTTTCCTCTCAATTTCTCTCTCTCTCACCCATGCCTACATATTTTCTGCCACATACATGTATAGGTGGCCAAAGTGACTTGATTAGTGTAGAGAATGTTTTATGACATCATCTTGAAAGTAATGCCAGTTTATTTTGTTAATTTCTTTTGTTGTGTTTAGTTGCTTATTGTCAAGACATGACACTGTGTACTTTAAAAGTATTGTTTATTAAAGCATTCATTCAACAGAAATTATTAAGTACCCACTATGGGACATACTATACTAAACTTCCATTTAAAAATGAGACTAATGGTTCCTATCAAAACAGCCTGGGACATTGGGAGAGAGTTCTAAGTGTTTCATAATCTAATATAAAAAGTGATAATCTAGAGTAGTCTCCTGTTGCATCTTATTCTGAGCCCTGAAAGTAAAAAATGTGATTTCTCATAGAAGTTCAGTACAAAGAAGAGAATGTTTTATGAAATTAATCATAATAGAAATTTGACTTATATTGTGGTTGATTTAAGGAGAGATTTGTTTTGAGTATCTTTATTGTCTGCTGCAATGCAGTGAATCATTGACATTCTGTCTGTCTTTCTAGGAAGCCAACGACTACAGAAATCCCGACTCTACCAATCAATCATCGGATGGTGCAAGAGAGGATATTTATGTCAACTATCCAGCCTTCTCTCACAGGCCAAAGACCAGAATCTAAGCTTTTTCCTTGATATGAGCAAATTTGTGATGACTGTTATGCATGTGGATCTTTATATAATTTTTTCCCACTACTCAGTGGCTACCCTGGATACCAGTTGGCTAAATTTATTTAATTTGATAGGAAAAATACTTTATAACCTGGAGAGCATTCTTAACAGAAAAGTTTCAGGAAACCTGACTCTAATTAGCATATACATAAAGGGAAACTTACTGAGTCATGTAATGGAAGAATCCAGGGGAGAGATCGAGCTTCAGGCAAGGGTTATTTACCAAGGTTTAAATGTCATGTCTAGAATTAAGTTGGGGCATAAACCCGTTTCTGGGCCTCCTTTTGTGGAGTTGGATCCACTTTATTGGTGTTAGCCTAACTCTTATTCATGTGTTTCCCTTGTGTTTCCAATAACCCTTGGCAATTCATAATCCTTGTTTCTGCCTGGTAAAGAATTTATTTCTCTGATAAAGCAAACAAATTTGGTTATTTGTCCATCATGAAACAGGCATTATGGCTGGAAAGGATGAAATGGCTTAAGTCAATTAAGGGTTCACCTCTAGAATGAGGACTGAGGCCAAAGCACATTACCAGGAAATTCAGGGTATCATTAGAGGAGGGAAATGGGGCCTGGAAGCTGCGCTGGTGGCCAACAAATGTGGACTGCAATGCCATTCCCAAACATCTCTTATTAACCAACAAAAAAGAGAATATGTGGGTGGATCTGGGTTAGCTTCCTCTCTCCCCACTTTAAAATCTGCTCTATCAGCATAGTCCAGAAGAGTAGTTGGCAGCAGAATAAATGAATGGTCAAGAGGAAGACAAATGTGACAGGGAAATCTCTTCACTCTCTATTATCAAATAAAGTAATCCCTGATTCCACATGGAATTCTTGCCACTCTCCCTGGCTTAGCTTTATGAGATGGTCCAATAATAACTTAATGTTTTTGATATTGAATTTTTCTACTTTTGAGAATTACTTTAAATATGTAAATCCTTTCAAAAGAGTCAGGCACCTAGGCATTATTAATGGTTTTTAAAAAAATAATTATGGGAAATCTGAATATAAGAAAAAGAATGGTAGTTAGAAGTGTGGTTTGGGTTGTGGTAGAAACATGAGGGGGAGGAACATTGAGGGGGGTGTAGGGAAGAAGGAACAGGGAACAAAGAATGGGAAGATACAGAGATAACCTTGTCTTGCTTCACAGTTTGGCCAAAGACAACCCTAGCAATATCAATACAGAGCCATTAGTGGCCATCCTGTCATTGTTCAAATTCTAGATGGGGTCAGACGAAGAAAAGTCGTCCTGAAGATAAATAACGGTCATGATCACCTTGAAACCATAATGGTCATTACCAAAGATAGAGATCATTCATGTCTCAAATATTTATTACTCATCTTTAAAACATTCACCACAAAAATTGCATGTAAGTATCAAAGTTGTAGATTTTTATGATAATTTTAAGTGAACCAAACCAAATTCTCATGTTATCTAGGAAGACTTGAAGCTGTAATTTACAGTTTTAAGTGAGTCAGTGGATATTTTATGATAGCTTTAACTACTATGCATGCCCAATAGTGTAGTGATTCTGTGAATCACAGAAATTATGAATGCCCCTGCCTGCTTCAGAAGGGAAAAAGTAAAAATGTCCACTTCTCATGAGGTATTTCCAAATTCTCAATGACTAATATGGGTGAGAAGGAAAGCATTTCTACCAATGCAATATGGGGAAATGGAAATCCGACTTGAACAGAGGAGATGACGTGTTTGGGGGCAGGGTGCACAGTACAACCAGATGCCATTGTCCTGGAGGTTTAACTCGTGGAAGAATTCTGCAGCAGAGCCTACAGACCATTTTAAACCAGTCTCTTTCTCCGTGAATGTTTTGCTTTTTCTTTAATCTGTCACTCAGAATATTTATGAGAACTATATCCTCTGTCCCTCTTCTTCGGGTATTCTTCCTCTGCAGAGCTCAGGATTTTTCAGGCATTTGGAACCCTTCTAAGTCCTGCTGGAATTTCTCTGTCCCCCCCGCCATCCCACCCACTGCCGCTGGTCCTGTTACACTCTCAGCTGATCATGCTGATGAAATTCTACTCACTAGTTTCCTTTCCCTGGACATCTTTACTTATTAACAAAACACTTTCATTATTGTCTGTTTAATATCATTCCTAATTTGCTAGAATTTCGTAACTCTACTATATATATATAATATGTATATGTATAAAACTATACCTACTATATAGATACTACATGGTATATATAGTATATTGCGTGTATATGCATCACACACACACACATATATAAATATATGAACATATATATATTTCCCCCTAATCTGTTTTACCTACTAGTCTGTTGTTATTAAGGAAACCGATCAAAACAGTTCCACAGAATAAAATGTCAGAATTGAATTAAATTATGTTTTAAATCTTTTTTGAAAGGTGCTACTTAGGGAGCAAGATGCTTCCTAGGATTCTTTTTTACATATATAATTTATGATGATATATAATATATTACATAAAAATCTATGTTTCCTTTGAATGCCATAAATGTAAATTTGAATATTTCCATTAAAGTAACCAATTAAAGGGAATTGCTGTGTGATGACAAGTTAGGTAAGTTTGTTAAATGTCATTATAGAGTATACAGTTTTTTGGGGGAAAGGATACATGCCATTAACCTATGATGACTAGGTATTGATTATATTATCATCAGAGAGACCTTGAGACATTATTTAAAGGCCTTTATGCATACTGAGAAAATAGAATTGAAATTTCATTAGCTTGTAATTACGCTTATGGATGCAAGGCAGTAGATGAGGCTATATTCTTTACTTGGTCAATATTAAATTTTTAGGATTTTTAAGTGAATCAATTTATTACTAAAATATTATACATATAAATTTAAAATACATTGGTTATCAATTTACAAGACAAAGGAAGATAAAAATAACTAGTAGGTTTACTTTCATTGTAAATATTCAAGTTATGTTGGTTTATATAGAACTATCTTAAATCACATCTACAGCTGCATTACCATAATTTACCAAATTGGTAGAGTCCATATTGTATTTAGAAATTGCTGTAATCAAAGTGCTTCTCCTTGATTTATAATAATGTGCTATATTCTGTACTGCTTGTATGAGATTTCAGCAAGATTGCAGGTATTGTAGAACTCAATGTTTATAAAGTTCAGGTGGAGGTGCTAAATTGTGAGTAAAGTGTTTAGTTTCTTTCCACAATAGTGGAAAAATATCTTTGAAAAATATAAAGTGGTGCAAACCTATAACACAATTAAGTATCATTATTTGGCCACTACTAGAACATAGAACCTAGAAAGTGTTGACCTTCACATTCAGGCTTTTGCATAAATTAATACACTTTTATACTGGTCTTTTCACTGGAATTATTCTAAGTCAAGTCTCTAGGCTCTTATACATTTATCTGAAACATAAAAACAAGTATTTTTTAAAAAAAATTTTCTATTGCTAGTGACCCATGTGTAGAACTGTGGCTTCTAGAATTCACTGCAATGCTTTCTAAGGGAATTTTACAAAATCTTCAAGGTTGGTTTACATAGTATTTCAGATTCAAAGCACTAACTGTGTTGCAAGGTATCATAATAAAAGATCGAATCTGGGGATATGTATGATAAATGTCTGCAATAATTCCCATTTATTGCCTATTGTCCCTGTTTGAATGATGGGTTATATAGTCACCCTGTTTAAAACATTTTTTCCAGTTTTATGTGTAATTTCAGATTGTCTGGTTTTGTAGGGCATGCAATGTACCTGACATACTGAATTCTGTTGTTTGAATGAATAAAGTGCAGTGTTTCACCATCATTAGTTTTACTTGCCATCAAAGAATATTAGAAAAAAAGTCCTCTAGAATAATATTAACATAAAGAGTTAAATGCAGAAAAAATTCAAACCACTGACGCTTTATAACTTCTATAGCAATGCAACATTCAGTGCATTTTCTAAGTGCGTGTAGTTCAAAATCAAAGTGCTGTATGCGGGGTTTTTGCAAAAATAAGTTTCCTGTCCTTCCCATTTTCCCTCCTTTGAGACAACAAATTTCACTTCCTCTATTACTTTATTTCTCTCTACTTCTCTGAATAGCATGCTTATATCATTACTAGATTTTTTTTTCAATTTTAGACGTTTTTTGATACAGATGCTTTCTTCTCCACGAACTCACCACACATGCATACATTTTTCATGTGCCCATCCTTCCAAAATGTTTGTATTAAAGTTTGATTATTTCAGTATTTGGTGTTTATGTTTTTATGACTTTGCCAACACTCTTCTCAGCTGAATCAAATGGTAAAAATGATCATGCTTCTCTCCTACAGAACTTTGGTTTTCACCTGGAGCTAATAATTGTCTCTTTTTAGCTTTTAATAGTTTTGTATTTACCTTAAGCTTATCTCAAAATCTTCACCAGTGACCTAGATAATCTCTCCAGATTCTCTGTGTTGCAGCAGATGTTCCCAACAATTTTAACTTCCTGAAAAATTTACCCTAGAATCTTGACTTGGGTCATTAAGCAGTGGTTTTTCCTGCATAGCTCTCATCCTCTGTCTCCCTTCAGAGAAAATGAAGACAAAGGAACATAAAACCTGGAATCAATTCTAGAAAATGCCCTAGTACACAAGGCTATGAGGTTCCAGAATGCAAGTGTTTACCCAGTGCCCTGAATGAGGAACAGTAAGAAACATATAATATTTGGGTTTGTGTCTGCAAGAGTCGGGGGTATTGGTTGTAATCTTTGGAAGCTGATGTTGACTGTTCTAGAAAAACAGAGACAGAGAGAGGGAGAGGGAGAGAGGGCACCAATGCTTGGGAAACGGGGAGAAAATGTGGCAAATCCAGTGGTCCATAAGCGGGATGGCACATTTTAGATAGACTTTAATATAAATTCAGGACCTTATATAATACCTGGATTTATTACAGGTGTATTTAAATATATCCAAGGTTGTTTCTGAATAAGTCGGTGAATAGACAAATACAAGTTGCAATCCATATCAACACTCTCAGGAGTACTGGGGTGGTGGCCAACAGTTCATTTTTAATAGTGTTATTGAGATTGGATTTGGATATGAGGATTCACCCATCTCCCAAAGAACAGATCTATTGTATATTATTCTTGACTTTAACTTTAGTCCAGTTTACTGATTGTAAAACTGTAACTTAAGTCTAGACAGGTGTGTCTTTACACAAAAAGATCAATTTCTTTGTAACATATAACCTTCAAAATTCCAAGTAAGAAGTTGACCTTTGTCCATTTTTTAATGGAAAACTGCTAATTAAAATAATATACATGTCATAAAATTATACCAAGTACCACTTGATGTGTAGAAACAAACATTGAAGGAAGAACGCAATGAGTAGGCAGCACCAATCTTGTACATGTGGCCAAAGAAGCAAAGGTCCTTTCTGGATTATGAGTTTAAAATATCCCCTGAGTTCAAAATGTCAAGCAAAATTCTCCAAATCCTGGAAAAGTGGTGCCAAACGATATTTGTAAGACAAGAAGCTCTGATAACTTTCTTCACCCTTCAAAATTTAAAGAATCTCAACTGATTTTTAATTTTTCTGGAAATTCATTCTTAAGATAATCTCCTTCGTATTCGGTCACCTATTCATTACAACCTTTAGCCTAGTTATTCAAAAGTACTTCTAGTGAATAAAACCATTATTCTTTAATCAGATGATTGGGTAAGATTTTGAGCTCTCAAAAGTTCTCTCAATGTTATTAAAATTTCTTATTACAGCTTTTGATGTGTCTTTGATCTGTGACATTCACAAACGTTTCTTCAGTAGAATTGCTTGCCTCTTCTGCTCCCTGCTCCTATCCCTGGTTTTCAAGCTTTCAATCCATTCCCATGAAGGCCTGGCCCCCGTTGATTATGTTATTATTACTATTTTTTAATTCCTTGGGTGAGACAGGAAGACCACAGGAGCCCAGACTAAGTTTGAGACCTGTGCTCTGGTGAAGTCCTTTCCTCTGGAGGGTAGGTGGGTCTTTGTTATTGAGAAGGCTCTTGGCTTATCTCACAGTGGTGACCCTGCCCGTTCCCTTGCCAGATCCGTGAGGGGACCTTTCTCAGGTCCTCATGGTGAGTGTTAGCATTAAACCTGGAAGTCCTTCCTCATGTACTTTTTAAAAAAGATTTATTTATTTATTTGACAGAGAGAGAGGGAGAAAGAGAGAGAGAGAGAGCACAAGCAGGGGGAGCAGGACATGTAGAAGCAAGCTCCCTGCTGAGCAGGAAGCCCGATGCGGGGCTCGATCCCAGCACCCCGCCTGGGATCATGACCTGAGCGGAAGGCAGATGCTTAACCGACTGAGCCACCCAGGCGCCCCTCCCCATGTGTTTTCTGGTGTCTTGGTTTCTGACCTGTTTCTTTGTCCTGATATTATGAAGCTTCACTAGGCTGTTCTGACATTGGAATCGGATCCATGTTGCTCTTTGGCCCATTTTCATAAACCATAGATCCACCTGACAAAATATTTATGGCATATGAAAATTTGACACAAACGGAGAATATAATCTGAAAATTAGTATGAGATTATGCTCAGTTTCCCTTTGCCCAGATCAGTATCAGGCCTCATAAAATTTTTAGTCCAAAAAGCAGCAAAAGGTAGTAAAAAGAAATTCCATCTCAAACCATAAGAAGACAGTGATGGGTTAAGTCTACTCCATCAGCAAAAATTAAGTCAGAGGAACTGTCAGCAACACCCATCCATCACAGAATGTAGTCTGAAGCACCAGACTAAATGAGATTTTTTAGGATTCTGCCAAAATGGACTGAAATGCAAGTCACACGGAAGTGTTTCCCTGGTCACAGGTATTCAATATTAATTTATTTTAAGGATTAGTCAAATAAAAGGTAAATGAGAATTAGAAAAATCTATGGATAAGAGAAACTAAGGAAGGCATTAACAGTATGATCAAGAAATAAATATACATAAATATGTTTTATGTGTTATGTTTTATGGATATAATTAATTAGTTACTGTTTGGCTTCTACAGAAGAAAACACATGATAAAAAGAACGATAAACAAAAAACAAGCGACCTGAGAAGGAAGGTCCTGTGGGAGTGTTACACGATGGGCATTGGTGGAGTGCTCTCATGCATATGTGAGTCACTTTACCATGAGAGAAAGACCCAAGGCAGAGCTGCCCCCTTGTTTCTTCACTACCTAAGGCCATAACTTAAAATACTGCAAAAGTTTTCAAAGACATCATTCAACAATTTCTTCTCAAACTCAACCCTGTTTCTCTCCACATGTTAATGGGAGTATGTTGAAAATTTCTATTGAGTTAGACTAATATCAAGCAAACAACCCCAAACCCATTACCATCTCCTTCAAGTTAGGGAAAAGCATTAGTAATGGCCACTGGTTATCATTGTATGAATCATATGTTATTTCAGCTTCAGGGAGAACACAGTATCTAGATTGGAACCAAAAAAGACAAATGTGATCTCTACTCAAGAGTCATCAGCAATGACCTGAACTACTTGAGAGATCATAATGCTCCAAATCCCACTCATAAATGCAACTTAAATACACAGTTAAATATAGCATATAAATGTTATTGTTTAAAATGTCAAGGACCATAATGTAACATTTCTGGGAGTATAATGCCTCTTGGGTCTCTATACATTTTACAACTCCATTGAAGAACGAAGAAGGAGAAATGTCACATGAAGGATGGAGTTATATTTCCATGTACTACATTGATTTTACCTGAGATATCAAATAGCACCCATATCAGTCTAGGTTGTGCACAATATTAAAAGTAGCAGTGGGCACTCTTTCTTATCGAATACCTAGACATCCCATTTACAAATTCTAAATGTACAACAATTCATTTCAGTTATGTTTCCCCGTCAGAAGTCTCAATGATTCATGGCATCTCAGGGGTTCAGATGCCATCCCCTCTCAGTACCGAGAGAGAGAATCAGATGTGATGGGGAAGGAGGGAGGGGAGCTAAGTAGAATATCTACAATATACCTCTGTAGCAGTTTTCCTTTAGATTATATTGCTGAGAGTGAGGGTTATTTCTGGCTAGTGGCTTTACTATTTATTGTCTTCGACACCAAGCTCTGTCTCTATATTTAGCTCTCTGAAATATAATTACTAAAAAAACCATAAACCTCAAACATAGCAGGCTAACTAAAACAATTTTTAAACGAATACTGGAACAAGAAAGGGTTTACTACGTCAAGGGATATTGGCTGTATACCACTGGACTGATCGTACCTGCTTCATGACTTGAAATGCATACTTCTTCCCTAAGTGGCGAGCTCCTTAGAGGACAGCTCAACTCCTGCTCATCTGAATTCCTAGCTCTTAGAAGATTCAGTGAATGGTTTTTAAATTCAATTTTGAAATAGCATTGTCTCTTTTGGCTACCTTATATCCAAAGTTTGCAAATATTCGGAAAAGTATAAGGTATATAGAACAGATCTCTGTAATTCACACATGCATAGAAAGTGGGTGACTCCGTATTTGTCTTATGCTCAAGTTTGTGTCAAGAGAGGAGCTGGGAATTTTAGAGAATGTGGTTTAAAACATTTATACAATTCAAATAATGGGAGCTAATTTTGGAGCTATGTTAGACAACCCTGTCTAATAATTTCCTGTGATTAAGAAAAGCAGGGTCTTGGGGCGCCTGGGTGGCTCAGTCGTTAAACGTCTGCCTTCAGCTCAGGTCATGGTCCCAGGGTCCTGGGATCGAGTTCCGCATTGGGCTCCCTGCTCGGCGGGAAGCCTGCTTCTCCCTCTCCCACTCCCCCTGCGTGTGTTCCCCCTCTGTGTCTCTCTCT